CCTGGCTTCTCTCCTCAGACTTCTATTTTTTAAAGACTGTGAAATGTTTGTCTTTTCTGTTTTTTAAATGATCATGAAACCAAAAAGAGACTGATCATCCAGGCCTCAGCCTCGTCCTCCCCAGGACCCCTGGCCAGGATGGAGGTAAGGGATGGAGGGTCCAATCCTGGGACAGCCTTGTCCCTCGGCACCCCAAGCATGAACTTGTGGGATGGTAGGGTAGGCTTCCCTGGCATGATGGACAAAGGCCTGGCGTCTGGGCCAGAGGGGCCGCTCCAGTGGGCAGGGGTAGCTAGCGTGTGCCAGGCAGATCCTCTGGACACGTAATCTATGTCAGACACTACATGATGACTCAATCAAGGCCAATAATAAAGACATTTCCTACCTGCACAGCCTCCCTGGTCTTTTTTTTTTGAGACAGAGTCGTACTTCGTCACCCAGGCTGGAGCGCAGTGGCGTGATCTCGGCTCACTGCAACCTCTGCCTCACAGGTTCAGGCGATTCTCCTGCCTCAGCCTCCCCAGTAGATGGAACTACAGGCACCCACCACAATGCTCAGTTAATTTTTTTTTGTATTTTTGGTAGAGATGGGGTTTCACCATGTTGGTCTCGAACTTCTGACCTCAGGTGATCCACCACCCCCTGCCCTTGGCCTCCAATAGTGCAGGGATTACAAGCATGAGCCACCACACCTAGCCTCACTTCACTCAAGTTTTGTCATGCACACACACAGTTTTTTTTGTTTTTGTTTTGTTTTTTTGTTTTTTTTTTTTTTTTTTTGAGACGGAGTCTCCACTGTGGTCTCCCAGGCTGGAGTGCAGTGGCGCGATCTCGGCTCACTGCAAGCTCCGCCCCCGGGTTCACGCCATTCTCCCCGCTCCAGCCTTCCAAGTAGCTGGGACTACCAGGCCCCGCTACCACGCCCGGCTAGTTTTTTGTATTTTTTAGTAGAGACGGGGTTTCACCATGTTAGCCAGGATGGTCTCGATCTCCTGACCGT